GCCACCAGCAAAGGAGTCAGCGTCCTTCACAGAGGTCGACGACTTGGTCGACTGCTTCTCCTTGCGTGGCTTACTCTCTCGACGAGGACGACGCCCGACCGACCTCCCGCGGCCTCCCTTGGTGTTGTCGTCGTCAGAGTCACTGCGGTCAGGGCACTCGAAGGAGAGGTGGTCGGGGCTGTGGCAGATCCAGCATTCCCGGCGTCGACCGCCTCCTCCTCGACTGCCATCCGGGGCCGACTTCTTCTTGTCGGCGTCCTTCGCCGGCTTCTAGCTACTACTTCCACCGCTGCCAGACTGCCCGCGCTGTCTCGGTCGACCACCTTGTTTCGCCGAGGCGGCGTAGTTCACCTGCGGCAAGAGCTCCAAGGGTCGCTCAGCTTCCTTCATCGCCTCATCCTGCAGGATGTACGAGGTAAGGGGGTCGTCGTTGGGTGTTGCCCGCGAGCTCGTTGTAGTTGCTCGTGAGCCCCTTAATGACGTGCGTGACGTACGACGCCGTCGAGTACTGCACTCCGGCCATCCTCATGGTGGCGAGAAGTCGTCGAGCCCGGTTGCAGTAGTCGGTCGCCGTCTCTTGTTCGCCCATCCGTAGATGCGACAGCTGCTCTTCGAGCTGGCCGATGTACAGGTCGTCGGTGACCTGGTACATCGACTTGATGAAGTGTCATGCCTGGTGGCCGGCGTTCACGTAGTCCCTGCACGGCTTCAGGGCGACCTGCACGCCCGGCAAGCAGCAACGCGAGATGACCGTGAAGGTCAGCAATTGCATAACGTGAAACTCCGCACGCAGGTCGGGGTAGTTCTCCGACGGCGTTACAACGGTGCCGTTGGCGAAGCCTATCAACCCGGCCATCTCCAGCTGGGGCTCGATGGCTTCCTTCTACGTGAGTATGTCAGGACGGCCGACCAGCAGGGGGGTGACCGAGATCATGTCCGGCGTAAACTTGAAGTAGCCGTAGCTCGGCGCTATCCCTACTGCAGTCACGTGGGTCGCCGACATCGGCGGCAAATTACTTCGACGTCCTCCGACGTCGCCCTGCGAGGAGCTTGCAGCCGCCGACGACTGTAGTCCTTGAGCCTGAACGGCGCCGACTTCACCGGCGTGTATCACTCCTCTCTGCCTCAACGTCGTGCCTCCCGCACTGCTGCCGACTTGGTCACCACCGACGTTGACGCCCACGTAGACGTTGCCTTCGTTCACCAGTCGAGGAGAGGAAGGTTGGGGAGGGTGCTCCTCCGCCCACACCATACGGATTCCCACCTCGATGACCGCCAAGGGGAGGGTCTGTTCGTATTCCCCATCATGGTGGCGTTTCCTCGCGTCCTCCAGCCATGCCTCAAAGGTGTCAGCAACACCTGTATTACCTACGCCAACCATGGTGACAATCGCACAGCTGCTGGCCCACGAACGCAATAGGTATGTGGCACTAAGTCGATTAGACTGAAAGTAAGTCGCGGTGCCGTCCACGCTCACCGCACCATGCGGAGATAACTATTGCAACGGGAGCTAGACTACGGGCTAGGCATGAGGCGTGAGTGGTCTCTGCGTTCGTCCATTGTTTCCTTAGTGCGCACACTACTTGCTGGTTCAAGGGGGTAATTGGCAAGAGTTCCACTAAGATTGACAAGAAGAACTACATCAGAAGCCAATAGTCTAGCCCACAGCAAAGTCGACCACCAGCACAACACAAGGGCGACTTGCCAGCTGAGCGACCTCAGGCGTCCTCAGGTGTCCTCAGTCGACCTACAAGGCTGGCGTCCCAGCACAACAACATCAGGCCACCATATGCGCATGTGCGCGCACCAACTTCGCAAGTGCCAGGTGACAGTGTAGCACAGCGTGCATCGCCACACACATAGCGCAGGTGCCAGGTCGACCACATGTCGACGGTTACACCTGTGGGGCCATGTCAACCACATGCCACCGAATCGCAAGGCATCTTCACCAATCTACCATGTCGACCACATGTCGCGCACCTCGCTGACCCCGTCGCCCAGGTAACCTGGTCGACCAGGCAACCACGTCAACCAGGTGCATCTTCTCGGGCCTATCGACCACCCAGGTCGACTACCACCTCTGGTCGACCAACTCCAAGTCGACCACTCCCCTGGTCGACCAACTCCAGGTCGACCAGCACACCTGTCAGCCGATCACCCAAGTCGGCTGCCCCAAGTCGGCGTCACCATGTCGGTGCCCTCCGAAGTCGGCGCCCTTACAGTGGCCCCTGTGCAGGTCGACCAGCCTCGTCGACCAGCTTGCCCACTGCTGCAGGTCGGCTGCACCCGTTACACCGACCACAAAGTCGGCTCTGCACAAGCGAGGACGGGGCCTACCACCACTCATGTTGACAACACCCACACCCACACACACACACACACACACGCACGCACGCACGCACGAACGCACGCACGAACGCACGCACGCACACACACAAACACACACACACACATTTTTTTTCCGGACAGACCGTGTTCGACAAAACGACCCAAAACGACTGTTTGGAGCCCCCCCCACCGCCTCCATGTTTTTGCCTTTAAAATCCCCTCCCCCTCCTCCCAATGTTTTTGCCTGAGTAAAGGGCACATCCTGGCCCGGATTTTAAGTTTTGGTCCCAGGGTTCGTCTGGCCTGCTTGCAGCATCGCGGAAAAGGCAACTGCAGACATCTTGCCGGGATTGTAACCACATTCTCTCTGGGGTTTGTTCTAGTAGCTCAGGTTCGAAAGCTTTTCCGTGTGGCCTACGTCAAGAAGTGACAAAAATGCAAAAATGTCCTGCGGCGCGGCGCACCACGCCAAAGCAGCCAAAAAGCGACGAATAACCTAAAACACGACCTCGCGTATCTAGGTTTTGACCCCATCCCATTGCGTATGCGGGTCTTGTTGGTCAGGTGGATATCGGTGGGTGCTGGCCATCAAGTGATCGATCACCTGACGATATGTGGCTTGGGGACAAACTCACCTCAGCGCCGGAGGTGACTCGAGTCACTCCGAAACCCCCTGGCCGGGAGCCACGCAGTGGGCTAGATTCAAGAGAAAATGTTGTCAGGGGTATGCTGCGTAGTTTGCCGCCTAGTGTCGTCGTAAGAGGGCATGATCATGCAGCGGCAAAGGCGATACAGCCCGTTTTGCCGATTAAGTCGGTCAGGATGTACTGGTATGTCCGGGACGACTTGGAAAAGGCTCCAAACGAACATGATTTTGAGCCTCTGCTCGTGAATCTTGCTAAATTATGTTGCGTGCGAGCACTCCCCCCAGTCATCGCCAGTTCATCGCCAGTCCCCAATCCCATCGCCAGTCCAATCGCCAGGTGAGCTCCCTCGCCTCCTTGTGCGTCCGTGCACCGGCCGCTGAAGCCTTCACTACCTACTACTCGCAGTACTATAAATGTCACGTCAACCCAGAAGCGGCTTGCACTCCCACTCTTCTCTTGGGTGTTGTCTCATTCCCCGTGAGCCTCACTTTTGCACTGAATACTCACGGGCTCTCACCAGACTCCTTTTAATAGCAAACCGTTCCGCTGCTCTCACATTTTGACGGAATCAAGAGCTATCACGATGGCACACGCCCTTGCTGGTCACCGGCTGTTGCCGGTGGTCGTTGCCGTCTTCCTGATGGTTTTCGTCAAGGCTGCACCTCTCAAATTCACGGTCAAATCCACCGTGAATGGTGGTGACGAGGGTAGGCCGACACACTCCACCCTTCCGTCTTCAGTCTTCTTGACGATTTTCGACTTGAAGTCACCGCATTTTTTTCTTGGTGATTCTTTCAATGCAACCACCTTGAACCATGGTGAAAACTTCCAATAAAGCTGCTGTGCTCCCTCCCGTTCTCTCTACAGTACCCATGGTTGATTTTCTCCCTCCGCTTCCCTTTCCTTCCCCTCCTTCCCTTCCTTTCCCTTCCTTCGACTTCCTTCCCCTTCCTTCCCCTTCCTTACCCTCCCTCCCATCCTTCCCCTTCCTTGCCCTTCCCTCCCCTTCCTTCCTTCCCCTTCCTTACCCTCCCTCCCATCCTTCCCCTTCCTTGCCCTTCCCTCCCCTTCCTTCCTTCCCCTTCCGTCCCTTTCCTTTTCCTTCCATCAACCGTGATGATTACTCCCAGCAGCAATCAACGTCCAGGTTTTTCCAAGCCGGCATCTGGTGGGCCGGGTGGGGGAGTTTGAAGGCGAGCTCAACAATTACCTGCCAACGCGTTTAAGGTCAGTTGACGGTGCTTGCAAGAGCGGTTTCAGTTAGTTAAGTGCTGCTTGCTGGAGCATTTTATCACTAGGAACACCCACATACCTACACACACCCACCCACTCACACACACCCGCGCGCGCGCATGCATACACGCCAAGGTGTAAAGTTGCAGCCTTTTGTTTTGGAATTTAGGGTAAAACCACGCACACACTCACAAGCACTACACACGCACACACTCACAAGCACTACACACGCACACACTCACAAGCACTACACACGCACACACTCACAAGCACTACACACGCACACACTTACAAGCACTACACACGCACACACTAACAAGCACTACACACGCACACACTCACAAGCACTACACACGCACACACTCACAAGCACTACATACGCACACACACATCCACACACACACACCCCACATTCACACCCGATACACACCACACGCCGACACACACACCCACACCCCCGTGACAAAATTTCTTTTTGGTTGGCTTAGAAGCAATCGCTCTCTTTGTCCATTCTTCGTCTCCCCTCCCGCCCAACCACGCCAGCAATCATACGGAGCGAGTCAAGCGTGCCGCTCGCCATCCTGAGGTGCTCTTTGGACGCTTCTCGCCTGCCCAACACCCCTCTCTCCCACTCTCTTTCCTTCCGTTCTTCACCCCTCCCCACCCACTCCCCCCCACCCTTCCCCCCTCTCGTCCCTACCATTCCACGTCAGGAATCACCGGGAGCGAGTCAACCTTGTCGTTCGCCCATTGGGCTGCCCTCTCGACGCCTCCCGCCTCTCCAACGTCTTCATGGGCTTCTTCAAACACCTCCACGCCAAGCCTTCCCCCGCCAGCTTCAATGGCACTCCAATCAAGCCGAGTGAAGCCTCTTGTGTCACCTCACGTGACATCTCAGGTGGCGGTTCAAGTGATAGTTCCAATGGCAGTGCAGAGAGCAGCTCAAGTGGCTATCTAAGAAATGGTATCGGAAACGTTACAAGTGCTGCAGCAGACAGTGCTTCAATGGAAAGTGCTGCAGCAGAGAGTGTCCTAGGCGAGTCAGACTGGGTGAAGAAGCTCGGGTGCCACGGCCCTCCCTGCCCCTCCTTTGGCTCATGCACCGCCCGCTTCCCCAACGTGCAGGCCTGCTGGAACCCCCACCTCGTGGACGAACCCGAGACTGAAATCGCCCCTCCTATGAACTGCCCTTATAAAAATGATAGCATCGCGTTGGAGAAGTGGAGGAAGGGAGCGGGGTCGGCCCCGTTTGACAAGACGTGCTCGAGCCGGAGAGATTTCAACCCGCGTGTGGCGAGCGCGCTGCAGGTGATGCGGCTGGAGGATGTGTTTATGACGCACAACGGGTCCATTCTCAACCGCACGCACGTGTTCGTGAGGAACGGGTGTGGGCGCTTCCCTAGAACGGTGAGAGCTGCTGTGTGTGGAGGGAGGGAGGGAGGGAGGGATGTGATGTGAGAAGGCATGATGTGGAGGAGAGAGGGTTGCGTGCTGAGAGGGAGGGATTTCATGGAGGAAGGGTTGTGCATGTGCGATGGGTGCTGTTGTGATGAGATAGAGTGTGCTCATGCAGATTGCGCGTGTTATGCGCTCCCTTCCCTTCCCTTTCACCTGTCTAAGTGTGAGTTGAATCACATTCTGCACGAGGTCCCAGCCGTGTTCAACTGGGCGCACCAACCCGGAAACAACCTCGACCACATACCTGTGTTGTGTAAAGCCTAGCGCTCACTGCACTCCCTCCAGTTCCCTATCGCCACACCAGGTTAAGTATGAGGCGAATCACATGGTGCACCATGTGCCAACCGTGTTCAACTAGGCGCACCAACCCGGGACCAACTTCTACCACTTTCTCGTGGAGCTCGTTCCTCTCTTCCTCGTCTCTGCGCCTCTCATGGCCTCCACTCTGCGACACGTGCCTGTGCTCTTTGTCACAAGTACGAAGAAAAGTTTAGAAGCAGAAAGAGAGGTTTGCACTAGCAGTTGTTGAGATACATATAGGAAACCCTAATTGGGTTGTACTCGCTATAGAGTACCCCACTGCAGGCTAGACAATTACATGATTTTGACACACCCCCATAGCCAAAGTGGGGTGTAATCAACACAACAAGCAGTCATAAAATAGTTCACAAGCCCAAGTAAAGCTAGAGGTAGTCACAGAGGGCATGTGAGGAGGAGGAGGGACTGTGAGAGGAGAGGAGATGGAAGGCGACGGCGGAAGCTGCAGACACACAGGAGTTGCTGGCTCAGTGGCTACCAAAGCAATGGCCCGGACTACATGAATAACTGGCTCCGCGGAGATTGTAGCCTCCTGACTAGAGCAACTGACCCACAAGCGAGTGGCGACTACCGGAGATTGTAGCCTCCGGACTACTGGTGCTGCTGGCGACACGACTGCGACCTCCGCTCAACCTCCGCCAACTGCCCCACGCCCCTAGCACACACCCCCTGCTGCACCCCTAGCTCCACTCCCACGTCACCCCCATAGCACCACTCCTTCGGCTCCCACACACCCACCCCCCTGAGCGGCAGCTGCAGCAGCGGGAGACGGAGGAGGAGGAGGAGTAGGGGACGGCGCACACAACCGGCATGTGAAAAGAACGAGGAATGAAGAAAGGAGGAGTTTTACTAGCAGTAGTTGGGATACATATAGCAAACCCTAACAAGGTTGTACTCGCTATAAAGCACCCCACTACAGGCTAGATAATAACATTCTGACACACCCCCATAGCCAAAGTGGGGTGTAATCAGCACAATGAGCAGGAGTTCACAATAATAAGCAAAGCTAGAGGTAATAACAGCGGGCAAGTGAGGAGGAGGAGGAACTGTGGAAGGAGAGATGGGAGGCAACGACTGAAGCTGCAAAGGCACGGGCACAGGAGCGGCTGACTCAGTGGCTACCGAAGCAAGGGCGACGGACTACTGGAGTGACTGGCTCCGCGGCTAAGACGAGCAGCAGGAGCAACGGACCCACCGGCGTCTGGTGCAACAGGCTCACTGGCTACCGAAGCAAGGGCGACGGACTACAGGCGCTGCAGGCGACACGACAGCTACCTCCACACAACCTCCTCCAACTGACCCACACCCTTGACACACACCCTAACTGCTTCACCCCTAACTCCACTCCCATGTCACCCCCTCGTACCACTCCGACGGCTCCAACACAGCACATCCACCCCCCTCAGCGGCAGCTGCAGCACTGGGAGACGGAGGAGGAGGAGGAGCAGGGGACGGCGCACAGAAACTGCACCCCCATACCCCCCACCCCCAAACCCTAATTCAGGAGAACGGGCAGCAGTAGGGGTGGGGCGCCGTCAGAAGCACGGGGGACAGCGGGCAGCTCAGGGGCAGAGAAGAACGGGCCGTCCACGGGCCTAGGACAGCCAGACAAACCGCGCGCAGGCAGCCCGAGCCGTGCGCGGGCCTGGCGCAGCCCGTACGGGCCGCGCGCGGGCCGGGCGCAGCCCGTACAGGCCGCGCTCGGGGCTAGCGCAGCCCGCGCTGGCCGGGACGGGTGACCGGGGACGACGGGCTGGTCCCCGTCGCCCGTCGAAGCGCCCCCCGGGGGCAATGCGCGGACCGACTGGGCAGAAAGCCGCCGCGCGCCTCGGGGCGTACGGCGGGCAGAGAACCGCCGCACGCCCCGGGGCGCACGGCGGGCAGAAAACCGCCACGCGCCTCGGGGAGCACGGCGGGCCGAAAACCGCCGCACGCTCCGAGCGCGCGGCGGGAAGAAAAATCCGTCGCACGCCACGGGGCGTGCAACAGACAGAGTAGCGGTGGCAGCGGAAGCAGTGAGGTGGTGGGCCCATACACAAGAACGACCCAGGAGGGTCGACCTGCTCTGATAGCATGTGAAAAGAACGAGGAATGAAGAAAGGAGGAGTTTCACTAGCAGTATTTGGGATACATATAGCAAACCCTAACAGAGTTGTACTCGCTATAGAGCACCCCACTACAGACTAGATAATAATATTCTGACACGGCACCCCCACAACCGCCACCCCCACACTCCCCACCCCCAAACCCTAAAACCGGTGGCACAGGGTAAGAGCGCGGGGGACGGCGAGGGGGACAGCGCGCGGCCCCCAGGGCGCCACCACAGGGCAGCAAGGGGGGTCACGCACGGCTCCAGGGGTGGCGCGCGGCCCCCAGGGCGCCACCACGGGGCAGCGAGGGGCCGCGCGCGGCTCCCCAGGGCGCCGTGACGAGGCAGTGGGGGGGTTGCGTACGGCTCCAGGGGTGGCGCGCGGGTCCCCGGGGGCGACGCGAGGGTCGACGGGGGTGGCGCGCGGGTCCCCTGAGGCGATGCAAGGGTCGACGCGGTGGGCGCACAGGTCGAGCGGGGCCGGGGCGTGCGACAGATCGCCACGGGGCGTGCGACAGATCGAGTAGTAGCAGAAGCAGGTTGGTGGGCCCACAGGCCAAGGAAGGACAGGCTCTGATAGCATGTCACAAGTAAGAAGAAAAGTTTAGAAGCAGAAAGAGAGGTTTGCACTAGCAGCAGTTGAGATACATATAGGAAACCCTAATTGGGTTGTACTCGCTATAGAGTACCCCACTACAGGCTAGACAATTACATCATTCTGACACTCTTGAGGCGTGGACAGGTGGGTTTTCAGTCGAGCCGGGTCGGGTCAAGCAGCGCCACCTGCATGCCTTCTTGGGCTGCGGGGTCAATCGCAGCCCTTCTTGGGCTGCGGGCCAATCGCAGTCCAAACCCCGGGTCGGCAGGTGCAGCGCTCGCGCTGCGTCGGCCTCCTAGGTGGGGAAAGCGCGTGCTTGTGTCCTGCTCGCAAAAAAGACTCGGGTTTCACCCGTGCCCCGGATGCGAGGTGCCGGAGAAAGATGGACGGGCTTCTCTTCTACTTCTTAAAAGAGACGAGGTGCTCAAAGCACGCTCGAAGGCTTGGAAGGATGACGACCGGCATCCAGCCGGCTGCCGGATATCCTACCTTTTAGAGAGATCTCGAAGAATTATCCAAGCACCCGTGTTTCTGATCATTCTTTGAATGTCCACGCTGCTGCAACGCCTGCCCAATCTTGCTAGGGCTGCCTAGGTGGGGTCAGGTTTCACCCCAGGCGCCTAGGCAGCCCTAGGCAATGCCAATGAGGCGCCTCATTGGCATCCAGGTAGATCAGATTCGCATGCAGGCGCCTTTTAAATCCGCGTCATCGCCGTCATACCCGTGCCTCTCATGCCACGTTGTTTTTTAGCTAGTAAAAGGAAATAGACCTGATATATTTTTTTACCACCCCTGTCCATGCCCGTCCTCCCTACGGGTTGAGCAGCTAGGTTGTACCTCATTGGCTTGCCATGCTCATGCCCCTCCCTGCAGGTGCTTTCATACAAGCAGGTGGGTGCTCCCCTCATTGGCATCCCAACAGATCAGATTCGCCTGCTGCCCACATTCGGCAACGATATCTTTCACGCTGATGTGGTGTACCAGGTGGGCTATGCACTATTGCATAGCATGGCGTGGCATGCATGGCATGGTATGGTATGCAAATGTGGTATACTTGTTAGGCCAGTCACGCATGGCATGTCATGCATGGCATGCAGATGTGGTTTCCCACATAAAGCATGCACGCATGGCATGCAGACGTGGTGTCCCATGTAGACAGTATCCTCGCATGCTTGCGCCGTTGCAAGCCATGCCCTGCCATCCAATATCATGCCATGCCATGCCATCTCATACCATGCCATGCCATTCCGTGCTCTCGCTCACCATGCCATCAGACATTGTCCGACCACCATAGTCCCCCTCTTACCCTTCCCTTCCCCCCACCTCCCCCCTACTCCCTCCCCCACTCCCCCTCCCCCATCCCCCAGCCCATATACCAAGACTGCGACCGCCCTAGCAGACCCCTGTGGAAATTGCTGTGGCGCCGCCATCTGTCAAACTCATATGCTTTAGTCTGTGTAGGTTGTACTGGGGTAGACAATATGGGGTACAACACTTTTAGGTTTTCCTACTTGTACCCACCTGCTTGCTAGTTCATCCATCCCTCGTTCTTTCACATGGTATAGAGCAGGCTCCCTAGTGGGAACGTTTCCTAGGGCCTACCGAATATCGATTTTTTTTTCCTGCCCGGAGCGCGCTTCGCCCCTGCCCGAGTCGCGCCCCGTGTGCCTACCCTCCCGTCGCGTCCCCTGCCCTTAGTGGCCCGTCGCGCTCCCCTACGGCCCCATAGCGGCCCCTCTCACAGCCTCTCATGGCCCCTCTCACGGCCCTTCGCGGCCCCTTCAGGCCCCTCGTGGCCCCTTCGCGGCCCCCTCACGGCCCCTTCGCGGCCCCTTCACGGCCCCTTCACGGCACCTTCGCGGCCCCTTCGCGGCCCCTTCACGGCCCCTTCGCGGCCCCTTCACAGCCCCATCGCGGCACCTTCACGGCCCCCTCGCGGCCCCTTTGCGGCCCCTTCGCGGCCCCTTCACGGCCCCTTTGCGGCCCCCTCGCGGCCCCTTCACGACCCCGCCCCGCTGCCCGTAGCGGCCCCGCCCAGTCGCGGCCCCGCACCGTCGCCAGTCGCCGCCTCGCCCCGTCGCCACACGCGGCCCCGCCCCGTCGCCAATCGCGGCCCCGCCGCATCGCCCCTGCCTCGTCGCGACGCCCCTGCGGGACCCGCGAGGCGCGGCTCGTGTGCATCGCGACGCCCTTGCGGGACCCGCGTGGCATCACCCCTGCCCGCCGCGGCGCCCTGCCCTAACCCGCGCCCTGGAGCAGCCGCCACAGCAGCAGCTGCCCCTGGAGCAGCCGCCACTGCAGCAGCCGCCCCTGGAGCAGCCGCCCCTGAAGCAGCCGCCCCTGGAGCAGCCGC